ACTTGAGTCAACAAATTCAGCAACTATATTTATTCAGTGGCTACTCTGTCCCAGGCACTGTTCTAGGCACTTGGGATATATATTAGTCAACAAAACTAAGACTTGCTGATAATACACACCAAACAATAACAAACACTATATAAAGGCATTGTAGGATACATGAGAAGTACTATAGTAAAAAGAATAGGGCTGGGTAAAGAGAGAACCAGAGTGGGGGAACCGGTTATAACATCAAATAGGGTGGTCAGAGTAGGTGTCACTAAGGAGAGGTTTGAGGAGAAATCTGGGGAGGTTGGGAGTTCGCCAAACATGCATCTGGGAAAGGAGCCTTCCAGGCAGAGGAAAGAGCTGGAGCAAAGGACCCAAGGCAGGAGTCAGGACCCCACGTGACTATGTCTTTGAGGAAAGGAGGCAGGCCGAGGAGGCTGGAATCAGCCAGGGAGAGGAGTAATGGGAAACAAGTTCAGGAGGAGGGCGGGGCCGGTTGGCAGATGGTGAAAGGGTTTTTAGGCCATTTTAAGGACTCTGGGTTTTATTCTGAGTGAAAAAGAAGAGCCGTCTCAGGGTTCTGAGCAGGGGAGAAAAATGATCTGACATTGAAACAATAAACTTCCGTAGGATGAATGAATATGTGAGGTAGATAGAATCATGCTACTCGATTGCCCATGAACCGGTTCAATAAAACTCAATGTAATGCTACATACTTTTTTTTGCTGATTTTTCCTGATACTCATTCTTTATCTCTAGGGAGCTGCTTGTCTTACGTACCTTTATCATTCCCACTTGCAGCAGCAGCAGAAGGAATTATTTGCCAACCACTTAATCACGACTAACTAGATACCGCTGGATAGTTTCGAGAGCACTTTTCATATGTATTATGTCACTCAAATCATCACAACTATATCTAGTGTTACATGACTGATCTATCACTAATACAGAAACAAATTCAAAGAGACAATATATATATTGCCCAGTCACACATTTAATAAATGGCAGAGTATGAATTTTGTGTCCTCTCCTAGTCTTCGTAAACCTACATTCTAGGTCCTAAAGACAGAAAGTGGTTTAACTACCCTAGGAGGGGTTCACAGTTAGGTGGGAGGCCAGGAGAGGAATAAAGAAAAAGATGGTACATATCACAATAAAGAAATAAAGGCGAAGTGCCAAAGTTATGGTGTGTTCAGCAAAAAGATCCACAGAGAGGACAAGGGTCCTGATGGTGGGTGGCCTCAGGTACACTGAAGCAGCGGGGCGTGCGGCTCAGGTGGTGGGAATAGTGCCGGCAGATGCTTGGGGGTCAAGATGAGCATTGTGTCCTTTGGGAATGGTTGGAACCTCCATTGTGAGTGGAAGGAAGTTGTAGGAGACAGGATTACAGAAGGTCGAAAAAAGCCACATGATATAGAATCTTAAGCCATAGGCTAAAACCATCTTTACTTTACCCACTGCAAGTTGCCAATGATTTCTGAGTGGAGATGGTGATGTTGACAAAAGTTTTGGGGTTTTAACCTCCTTGAACTTATAAAGAAAGTTCAATATAACATGACTGTTTAGTGGGGGTTGACACGAGAGGCAATGTCTTAGAATGAGTTCCTCCACAAGTCAACCTTAAAACCAAGATTCAAGCGAAAATAACTGATTTTGGGGGTGGTGCCAGGACATAACCAACATGGGACTGGGGGAGAGAGATAGGGAACAGAAGGCAGACAGTAAAGTATTCATTGTCAAGTAATTTATCATCGTGGATAACTGGACATTAGTCTTGTTGGGGGACTCTGGGAGCCAGTGTAGAACATACAGCTCAGAGGCATCCCACCCAAGGGATGTAGGAGCTGAGATGTTTATACATGAGCTCCCAGCAGTCATTGGCTGAGGGCTTGCTCCTGGGGGCAGGGATTCGAGGTTCCCCAGAACTGCCAGCCTGCCACATGAGCATCAAAATGGCATCTGGTAGCATCGGAGAAACAGACATAAATGCACCTGCTGGCAATGGGGTGGGGGGCAGTGTGCAGAATAGAAAGGGGTGGGTGATACGGACAGGCTATTGGCAGGATCTGCTACAGGCGGGAGCAGCAGTAGATTAAGACCCCTAAGCAGAGAGTCACATGGGTCCAGACCAATGTGCTGACAGCAGGAAATGAAAAGAAGGAACAGATTTCAAGAGCTTTTATAAAGGAAGAGTTGCAAGGCTTGGTTTTATAGATCCTTGCCTTATAAGGCAACAAGGGACTCTGTCCACTTAATGACTGTGGAGTTAACCTCTGAAAAAAGTTCACCTGCCCCACATGTATTCTTTTTAATACATTAGGGAAAATAAACACTCATAAGACTAATCATTTAGAACACCTATGAAATACACATATTAGGGAAAGATCTGGGGAAAGGTATGGTAAAGCTTATAAACATACTCATGGGAGAGTAACACACATCCAAATTCCAGACTTTCTCATTTCAGCCAATCTGTCTTTTGCATGGGAACAAAAGAAAAAATAATGAAGAAATAAATGTAAACCAAGAAACATTACCTATGGATAACGGAGATAAAAAATAAGGTAAGTATAAGCTAGCAGTTTGTTCAAATATTTCAAGCAGGAGCTTTTGAGAAAACTCACCAAAGACTGAAGACAGAAAATGGAAGAAGCATGGGAGAGTAATTTACGGAGGCGTTCATTCAACCTCACTCTCAAAGCTGTCACTAAAAAATAAGAGGTCTTTCCCCCTTTTCTCACCCCTATGCTCCTTGGCAAGATAGTCAGACTTATTAAAAAAAAAAAAAAAAAAAGGGAAAAAGAAGAAAAAGGCTGTGTTCCTGGAAGAATGGAGCTGAAATGTCCAAGAGGGAAAACACTGCGGGGATTGGAAGGGCAAAATCGAGGAGGTGATGGGCAGTGGAGTGGAGGCGGGGTCAGGGACTCCTGGAATGTAGGGGATACAAGGTGGAGCAGGGCCACCTGCCTCAGAAGGTCACAGGACCTGGGAAAGGGGCATTTCCTCGGCCGCCATCACAAACTAAAGATTAAAGCCTCACTCCTCAGTTTTGTGGGCAGCTGACATCCGGTAGGATTCTTTAAGATCCACGAGCGAGGGAGCGGTTTCCACAAGCCCAGCTGAAAATATTCACTACCTCTGGCGGTTGGGAGTACAGTCAAGTCAATCTGATTTCAAAAGAAAAAATGCTGATTCCTGCAGCAAGTTCATCCCTGCAGTAGAGGAAATATATAACCTTTACTTTTTTTGTTTGCTTTGTTGGAACTATGCGCGCCGTTCTGAGGTTCAGATGGGAGGGCAGCGAGTGATATTTTGCCAAGTGTATGGATGGAACCATCCTCCGCGTGACTTTTCCCAGACCTTGCTCGTCTGTGGAGGCTCCTCCACACTGACATTCTCAGTGACGCAACGAGAATTGATTTTTTTCCCCTTTCTTCTCCTAAATTCTTCTCATCTTTCCATCACATTTGACAGGAGAACAAGAATGGGCACATATGCCCAAGGGGATGGAGATCTTTGAAAGGTACATATTTGAAAGGAAAAAGGAAAAAGCAAGGAGAGTAAGCAAAGCAAGGAGAACAGGAAGGCGAAATGGGAGAGTGAAGCAGAAGAGGAGGCTGGGGTGTAGGGGGGAGGCAGTGGAGAAAAAGCAGAGTAGAAAGGCTGAGAGAGGAGAGGGAGGGAGGGGACAGGCTTGGTCACCCTCGATCCTTTTGCTTAAAGAATACCACGGATGCTGACCATTCAGGTCTCCTTCCTGTCAGTGAGACAATCTGCAAAAGTACATTTGGGCCAACTTTTATAGACATAGGGGAACTGGCCAAATGTCTCCTTGTAATATTTAATTTATTTAGTGACATGAACATACTCAAAGCCACATTTAAAATAAGATACAAATTTGGAAATATTATTTGCTTTTATGTTTCATTTAATAAAGCCTTCATATTCATTGTTTGTTTTTTTTGTCTAGGATGTCTTTTTTTTTTTTAGCTTGCCTTATTCATATTCTTTTTTTTTTTTTTCTTGCGATATGCGGGCCTCTCACTGTTGTGGCCTCTCCCGTTGCAGAGCACAGGCTCCGGACGCGCAGGCTCAGCGGCCATGGCTCACGGGCCCAGCCGCTCCGCGGCACGTGGGATCTTCCCAGACCGGGGCACGAACCCATGTCCCCTGCGTCGGCAGGCGGACTCTCAACCACTGCGCCACCAGGGAAGCCCTATTCATATTCATTTTTGATGGAAGTATCCTTGTCATCAATAGAGGCACTTTTGGAGTTACCCAATACTGTTTTCAGAAAGGACTTTCAACATTCAAGTTTACCACCCAGGAATAACGACTGTATAATATTTCTTTGCCCCTTAAAAAAAAAACCAAAAAATAAAAAAAACCTGATTCTCTCAGGAGCCTTCTACTCACATCCAAAATCTGCATCGATCTGAACTAGTTTATGGCTCATCTTTTCTAAGCAATATTCTATTTTTCAACATAAGGTAATTGAGAGAAAATCTTATAAATGAGAAAGTCTGTAAGGACTGGATTCAAGGGTGATTTGCTTTCATTTTTCTTTGAAGTAAAATTCAGGCAAGTATGACACAGTTTCTCTAGAAGAAAGAATCTGACGCTCAAGGCAAAGCTCCTTAGTGTTAGCTTAAAATACTCCAGAGACTCCTTGAGACCTCTGCTGTCAGACCAGACCTGGAACCAACTCCAACTGAATTACACACAGAGAACACCTTCTAGGAGGTATTTTAGCTTCCATTAGGTTCTGGACTACTCTAGCCAGGTCAGCCTCTCCAGAAACTATGCCGTGAGGGAGCCTCACCCGTCACCAGCGGTGGTTCTCAACTGAGACTATTCTGCCCCCCAGTGGTCACCTGGCAATGCCTGGAGATACTCTGGGTTGTTACTACTGGGATGTATTCGTCAGAGTTCTCCAGAGAAAAGAATCCACAGGATCTGTGTATATGTACATAGAGAGAGAGAGAGACGCTGATTTTAAACAATTGACTCACGTGATCATGGAGGCTGGCAAGTCCGAAATCTGTAGTTCAAGTCGAAAGGCAATCAAGATGAAGACCCAGGGAAGAGCTGACACTGCAGTTCAAGTCCAAAGGCCGTCTGCTGGCAGAACTCCCTCTTGCTTCCAGGAGGTCAGTCTTTTGTTCTATTCAGGATTTCAACTGATTGGATAAGGCCCACCCACCTGACAGAGGCAATCTGCTTTCCTCAAAGTCAACCAATTTAATGCTATCTCATCCAAAAGCACCCTCACGGAAACAGGAGGTGATGGGACTTTTCCACTTTGTAGGGAGCCATTAGGTTCATCTGGAAAGAAATTGATGGGTGAACACATCTTAATGAAGATCACTCTTCCCTTCTCTTTCCACTCTGACTTGCTGAGAAAGAGAACTATTCCACTGAGGCCTACCTATAACGAGCCCACTGGTGTGGGACTTCTGAGCAGACAGAATGTAATTTCTTCATGCCGATGCCTCAGTCAATCTTTCAGCTGCAGAAATGTGCTGAGGAAAAGGGAAGAAAAGAGGGTTCATGGCAGCTCCCCTGACCTGGATAAAATGTGAGCTCAGATGTCCCTGGAGTAAAACCAGCATCTGAGTGGAACTGTCACTGGACAGTGTAGCCAACCGAAGCAGCGCAAAGGCACCCAAACTGACGATGAACTTGCGGAGAACAGCAGAGCAAATGCGCCAATGGTGCAAAGGTTGCATTCACTCATTCCTCATTCATTCACTCAGCAAATAACTTGCGCTAGGCTCTGAGCGAATAAGGCAGCCTGGTCTCTGTTCTCATGCAGCCTCACGGAGAAAGAAGTGCAGTTAGAAACACGCCATCGAGGAGAACGTTGCTCTGGATGGATTTACAACCTTATTTAGAGGTGACTTTTGCTCTACGCTGGTGGGAAACAGTCCCGGATTTGGGGCCAAAGGTGGATTCAAATCCTAACCCTTAGACTTCCTGGCTGCCAAGTCAGCGATCTTCTTGGATCTCCTGTAAAATGGGGCAAAAAACATCTGCCACCCCACCTGTCACGTGGACGTAATGTGAGAAGCAAAGACAGTAACGCATGAAAATGCTTTGCCAGTTCTAAAGTCCTGAATCAGGGTTTCTCCTCCCTGGCTGCACACCTGGTAGCTTATTTAAACTACCAATGCCTGACACCCCACAACGCCCCGCCCCTCACCACTAGCTCAGACTAATGGGGTCAGGCTCCCTTAGCGGAAGGATCTAAACAATGGTATTTTTTAAAAGCTCTCAGGAGAAACTACAGCAAAGCCACCCTATACAAGCACTGCCAATTTGCATACTGTTACTTCCCCAAAGTAATCATATTGAAAACCTGCCACTTAGTGATCCCTGCATCCCAAGGTTGGTTCAAATTTGACAGAAAAAGTAGATTTGGGCCACTCTGCTTTGGGGGGGTCCTGCTTTAATGCTACAAGCAACAGAGAAGCCTGCTATATAGCTCGGAACAGGAAAGTCATCCAGTGACCTCACAGGCCAGGAGAGTCTTGAGTGGCGGCTGGGGGACAGATCTCACTGCAGGCGTGAAAGACGGTCCATCCATCAGGTAGAGTGTGACCTCCTAATGGCAGGAAATAGGACTCATACAACAGACACTGGATTTTCTGCTGTGACTGGTACTTTTTTAGATGTTAGGGATACTATCATAACCTGAAGAGACAACAATCGCTACTCTCACAGAGATCATGTTTTAGCAGGTGGAGGAAGACAATAAAAATTAATAAGTAAAATACATAAGATGTGAGATGGTGATAAGTACTACAGAGAAAAGTAAAATAAGGGGTATGGGTCTCTGGTCCCATGAAAGAAGTGAGAGAGTGAGCCATGTTGGTCCCTGGAGGAACAGCGTTTTAGGCAGAGGGAACAGCAAGTAAAAATGTCCTGAGGCAGAAACATGCCTGGTTTGGTTGAGGAACAGCAAGGAGGCCAGTATTGTTGCTGACGGTGAGGGTAGTAGGAGGTGAGATCAGAGAGTTATCCACAGGCCTGATTACAGAGGCTTGTAGGATATCGTGAAGACTTATTGTGACTCTGAGTGAGATGGATTTTGAGCAGAGGAGTGGTACGATTTGACTTGTGTCTCTATAGGCTCACTGTCTGCCACATGCAGAATGAACTCAAGGGGACAAAGGAAGAAGGCAGCCCAGTTAGGAGGCTGTTATGACAACCTGAGAGGAAAGGCTGGTGGCTTAGACCAGTGAGGGGGCAGTGGAGGGCGTGGGAAGTGGCTGGGGAAGGGAGGAGAAGTAGCAGAGACCGTGTCAGGAGCTGGCGCCGCAACGGATGATTCAAGGACATATTGACCAAAGCGAGGAAGCAAACCCAGGGTCAATGTGTCAGAAACCCAGAATCCACTAAGATCAATGCCGCCTGAAGCCTCCAGACAGACAGAAAAGGAGTCCCCCACAGCCTTCCTATCTCTCTGTGCACCTTGCATTTGAAACGCTCCAAGCACTAAGACAAATAAAAATGCTTTTTTGAGGGGAAAGAGACTGTCACCATTATAGAAGCCCTGTGAGCATGGGAATTTAAACACTGCCAATCACTGCCCACTGATGAACATTTCTAAAAGGGGACATAAAGTGTGATTCTGCAAAACCTGGCTTGAATATTATCATGGATCAAATCTGTGATATTGGGAATTGGCAAGCCTGGACACAGGTAGTGGAAAGAAAGTACATGGGGTAGGGGTAGAGCTATGCACAGACCATTCTAAGTGCCAATGTGTTCTGCCCTGAATGTTCCTACCTGCAAGACAGACAGAAGTGTGTGGCTGAGGAAGAACATCTGCCACCAGGCGGCACTATTTCCCCTGAAATGTCTGACAGTATCCAAACCCACAGGATGGATGGGTGACTCCTTAGCAAGCTAGAAAGGAGAGTCCTGATTACTATTAGTCTCTCCTAAAGTCGAGTGCCTGGAGCCCCAGAGGCAAGGGGTGAATGCGGTCCTACCTGTTCTTTGGCAATCCTGCCGGCTCCCTTGGCACAGAATGACTTGAAGGATTTTGTTCTTCCCAGTCAAGCTCTTGACAGAGTGTAATACAAGAGTTCTTAGCCCTCTGGCATTCGGCTGGGGCTTCTGAACTCCTTCTCAGCATTATGTTTTTAAATGCATAATATTTAGAATGCAAAGGATTACAAAGTAAGCCAATTATATTGAAATGCAATCAACAGAATACTGAAGAAAATGTGAGATACAGTGATACATGTGCTTCTTTATTAATGCAGTAAATGAGATCCAGGGGTGGACCTCCTGCCCATGGTGGTTTTGAAATACTAATGAGCAAAAATGATATTTCAAGGTATCTGCAACAACTGTAATGTGATGTTTGTGGTGGTTATATTTGACGGAATAGATTAATTTTAGTGAGAGGTTGATGAAAATAAAGATGTATTTGATTTTTCTCTCTGTCGTACCATTTTAGTTCATGGGCCGCTTGAATTCTGTCCAGAGACCTCTTGAAGACTGGAAGACCCCGGTTGATAATCCTTGTTCAGTGCCTCTTTAATGAGCCAATCACGCATATTGCCATTTGAAGAAAGCAAAACATCCCTCAAGCTAGCCAGGCTCCAGTCGAAGAAGGAATGAGTGCATTACAATCCTTCCCCTGTCTAGTCCCCCTTTCTGGTCACGCCTCTGAAGCACTGCGATTTCTTTAACACCTTCTCTTCCTGGAGTCTCTCCTCTCCTATTTGGCAGCTAAAGCCAAAACCGCTTCCTGGCCCCTCTTTGCTCCTCTCTTTCTTTCTTTATCCAAAAATCAAGATGAAGGACTACTTCCCTGGTGGTGCAGTGGTTAAGAGTCCGCCTGCCAATGCAGGGAACACGGGTTCGAGCCCTGGTCCGGGAAGATTCCACATGCCGCAGAGCAACTAAGCCTGTGCGCCACAGCTACTGAGCCTGTGCTCTAGAGCCTGCAAGCCACAACTACTGAAGCCCGCGCACCTACAGCCTGTGCTCTGCAACAAGAGAAACCACCGCAATGAGAAGCCTGCGCACCGCAACAAAGAGTAGCCCCTGCTCGCCGCAACTAGAGAAAAGCCCATGCACAGCAACGAAGACCCAACCCAGCCAAAAATAAATAAATAAATTTATTTTTAAAAAATCCAAAACACAAAATCAAGATGAGTCTCACTCAGTCCCAGAAATAACGCTGAGTCGTTTGTCCTTTGGTTTTCCTTGCCTTTCTTCTCCCTCCAGAGGTGAGAATGAAGAGGGAGGGTGTAGTAATTGATGAAAGCCAGCAAAGTCCAACTGTTAGAGTAACAGAAAATATGGCAACTTTTGAGTCTCTAAGTCGTTCTACCTAAAAACCTCCTTCCCTCACTCCATTAATCTCTAGCCCCCATCCTGCTTTACTTTCTTCACCACTTTTAACCTTATCTAAATTATCTATATATTTACCTTATTGCTGTCTGTTTCCCACACTAAAACTGACCTACAAAAGGGCAGGGATTTGTCTGTTTCATGTCAGTCTCCCTAGTGCCTAGAACAACAGGACTGTGTGTGTGGTAGATGCTCAAGTAATACTTGTTAAAGGAACGGGCCAGACTGGAATGGGATGGGAGTGCAAATAATTCATGAATTTCAATTTTTCAGTCTTTTTTCTACCACTGTATTTTATTGATGCTGGAAGAACAAAAATACCATGGGTGAGTTCCCCAGAGGGTGACTTCTTAAGGATTAGACAAGTAAAACAGAGAACAAGCTTTGGTTTGGTAATTATAAGTAACACACTCTGCATAAGTATCTTAATTTTATGTAATGCAAATGCATTTAAGCCTTTTTATTTAGGTTAGAGATATTTTACGAAAATAAATATTTTCTCCTCTTTTGAATTTGAAAAAAAGAAACCCTGTTTCATACTATCTCTCTGCAAACGGCTTGTGGGTCCTGAGTGAATTTCTATTAAATATGATATCAAATATATATAATAAGCTTATACTTAGCTATATACATATTGCTAAATAATAGAGGCTGGGATAAATTTTATACAAACACACAATCTCTTAACAGTACAAATGAAAATTGGTACTTTTATTATTAATAATTTAATTTCTCTGTAAATTGTCTTACTTCATCATTATGCACAAGATAGGTAAGGACATTTTGTCATTTTACTTTTGTGCCTTTTGGTCCAGGCAAATCAAGGTGCAGGTAATGAGATACTGAATTCCTACTGGAGGGACTTCTGTAACCTGAAGAGTAACATGGGTAACAGAAGACTGTAAGTAGGAAATCCACGTTATTCTCATTTTCCAAGAACGGAGAAAAATTCTGCAAGCTGCAGAGTGGGTAGCTGAGTCTCAGTTCCAGAGAGTCAGCCAGCCTGGAGAAGCTGTAAGACACCCTGGTGCCAGTGGGTGGAGCCAGAGAGCCAGGCCCAAGGACAAGTGGCAGCTCAGTAACTTCAATTTCTTTTTCCTGGAGCACGCTACGCTGGCCAGCACACTAGTCATGCATGAGTTCCCTGAAAGACATTTGAGGACCTCCCTGTACACTTTCTGACAAGTGGAGAGATGTGGGCTAAGCACAAATTAGGTGAATTTGGAGCACTTAAAAAATAATTGGCTATTCTCATATCTTATCAAATTGTAAGATTGACTATTCTATCCTTTCTATGACCAACCAATTTCTAGATTCACATTGAATCACATATGAGATTGTTTTTATCAAATGAGTTAATAACAATCAGAGTCGATCTGGGCAATTTTACAATACATTAGGAAATAAAAACAAAAATAAACAAATGGGACCTAATTAAACTTAAAAGTTTGCACAACAAAGGAAACCATAAACAAAACAAAAAGTCAACCTAATGAATGGGAGAAAATATTTGCACACAATGCAACTGACAAGGGATTAATTTCCAAAATATACAAACAACTCATACAACTCAATATCAAAAAAACAAAAAACCCGGGCTTCCCTGGTGGTGCAGTGGTTGAGAGTCCGCCTGCCAATGCAGGGGACACGGGTTCGTGCCCCGGTCCGGGAAGATCCCACATGCCGCGGAGCGGCTGGGCCTGTGAGCCATGGCCGCTGAGCCTGCGCATCCTGAGCCTGTGCTCCGCAACGGGAGAGGCCACAACAGTGAGAGGACCGCGTACCGGGAAAAAAAAAAAAAAGGGCAGAATATCGAAACAGACATTTCTTCAAAGAAGACATAAAGATGTCCAACAGGCACATGAAAAAATGTTCAACATGGCTAATTATTAGAGAAATGCAATCAAAACTACAATGAGGTATCACCTCACTCTGGTCAGAATGGCCATCACCATAAAGTCTACAAATAATAAATGCTGGAGCGGGTGCAGAGAAAAGGGAACTCTCCTGCACTATTGGTGGGAATGTAAATTGGTACAGCCACTATGGAGAACAGTATAGAAAGTCCTTAAAAAACTAAAAATAGAGCTACCATATGATCCTGCAATACCACTCCTGGGCACATATCTGGAGAAAACTGTAATTAGACTACACTAAATGAAGAAGTATAAAGTCTAGAATAAGAGAGATGAAGGGCTTACTCTCCTCTGGGCTAGTACACCTAGAAAGTTGTTTGTACTGTTTGGAATATCACATTTTTAAAGTGGATATAGGCAAATAGGAACACTATTAGCAGAGTGACAAGGATGCTGATGACTTGGGATATGTATATGAAATCTGTACAAAAGATCTGAGGCCGTTTAAATATGAGGAGGATCATGGGTCATGCATGGGCAGGTGGAAAAGCACGTTGCTCAGATCTTGAGGCTGACAAATAAAAGGCTGTACAGTCTGGACAGGATGTGCAGTCGCTGATCTAGGACCGATTAATCAAAAGGGAAAGAACTGGAATTAGGTTCAACAAACAGAAGAATGTTCAAATAGTTGCAGATGTTCAAAGATGAAGAGATGTCATTACGGGGGAGTGAGTTCTCATTCACCAGAAGTATTCAAGCAAATGACACTTCCTAGGGATTTGGGAAGAAGGCTCAAGTATTAGACCAGTGGTCGGTGAGGTCAAGGTTCACCATATGCTAGTCTAGGGACTGCTGATGGTCCACTATAAAATTTTTACAAAGTCCCTGGAAAGATATAGGCAACATATCTTATAAATGCAAGTTTCTAAACCTTCATTTATTCAATTTAAAGGACTACCATTTATTCTATTATTTACCTCTTTATAAGGGTGAAATGCTATATTATACCTTGTATGAAATAATGGTAATGATAGTAGTATGTTTTTAAATATACCTTACTTGGTCAAATTAAAAGTTTGGAAACCCTCTGTTGAAATCTCTAAGTTGTCTTGAAACATAATAAAGAAAATTGAAATGAAAAAAATCAAAGGGCTACTTATCTTAGTGATCTTTAGGATTCCTTCCAATCCTGAGATGCTATATATGATTCTAGAAACTATTCAGCATCCTTAGGGAATGAGAGTTTCTTAGACTTGATTTCTCTCCCTAGTGAGCCTAGAATGGCATTAGTGCATGTCAGCCCTGCTCCTCTGCCTTGCCCATCCTTTTTCTATTTTTTATTTTTTTGTTTTTGCGGTACGCGGGCCTCTCACTGTTGTGGCCTCTCCCGTTGCGGAGCACAGGCTCCGCACGCGCAGGCTCAGCGGCCATGGCTCACGGGCCCAGCCGCTCCGCGGCATGTGGGATCTTCCCGGACCGGGGCACGAATCCGTGTCCCCTGCATCGGCAGGCGGACTCTCAACCACTGCGCCACCAGGGAAGCCCGCCCATCCTTTTTATGCTCATCCCTTCCTGGGTTTTCTTCACACTTTTACCATATAAGCGTGCACCTCTAAACACCACAGTTTATATTTTGCATGTTTTTGGATTTGATGAAAATGGAGTCATAGAAAACCTGTCCTTTGTATTGGTCCTCTTTTGCTCAATATTAAAAAAAAGAAAAAAAAAAGATTGATCCAGATTGCTGTACCTAGCTTTTATTTTGTAGCTGAATATAGCCAAAATATAGCACGATTTATCAATTTCACTTTGATGGACACCTTTTCCTGTTTTATTTGCTATTTTGAATAACGCTTCTCTGAACATTCTTATCTGTGTCCCCTCATGCAGAGTAAAGAAAAACTGATGTAAGTTAAATATTTTATATGAAATACAACTTTTGTGAAAATCAAATATTCTTGCTGTACATGATCACTGACTCAGTCATTATTGCCCAGGAGAGACACATGATGAAAATACTTACAATGTCTTAACAAAACCAGAAAACAAACATCTCAAAGTATGATGGACGTTACTTGAAGTATGAAGAGGTCATTTATCAAATCTACCAATTTCCCCCGATTCATATATCCGCATGAATTGAGCCTCTTCAGTTTTTGTTTTTTTAAACTTCATTTGGAAAAAAAAATTTACACATGTACAAAAACACATGAAACATAAATATGCAGTTCAATGAATAAGTGTAAAGTGACTGTCTGAGGAACAACCATTTGTGTCAAGAAATACATTTCCAGCACCCTAAAAGTCCCCCAAGTCCCTCCTGATCCCACTCCCACTTTTATGCTCTTCTCTTCCTTGTTTTTCTTCCCTTTTACCACATGAGCATGCATCTCTCAACACTGTATCTTAGTTTTTGCCGTTTCTGACCTTTATAAAAATGAAATCATGGGGAATTGTTATGGTCTGAATGCTTGTGTCCTTCTGAAGTTCCTATGTTGAAACCCTGCCCCACAGCATTATGGTATTAGAAGGTAGGGCCTTTGGGAGGTAACTTAGATGAGGTCATAAGGGTGGAGCCCTCATGAGTGACATTCGTGCCCTTTTGAGGGTCATGAGAGAGCTTGTTTCTTCTGTGCTCTGCTCTCTGCCCTGTGAGGAAGACAATGAAAAGTAACTGCTAAGAAGGCTCTTACCAGAACCCAACTGTGCTGGCACCCTAATCTTGGACTTCAGCCTCCAGAACTGTGAGAAATAAACTGTGACTTGTTTCTAAGTCACCTTGCCTGTGGTACTTTGTATAGCAGCCTGAAGGGACTAAGACAGGACTCATTCTGTGTCTATCTTCCTTTGCTCAACATTAAAAAAAAAAAAAAGATTTATAGTAAGTCCCCTACATATGAACCTTCAAGTTGCAAACTTTCAAAGATTCGAACACGTGTCACTGGATCGCTTTTTCAAGAGGGTAGACAGAATTGAATCCAACAAGGAACCAGAACCTGTGCCATCCATGTCAGGCGTGAGTGACATTGCAGCTCGCCCTCCGTCTCCTGTTGCTGACGACCC